TCAAAATCCTACAGTAAATCGGTATGCTGTCCTCGTAATTGTTGTTGTTCAAATTCTAACTTTTGCAGATTTTCTATTTCAGTTTGCATTTCTTTTATTAAATCATCATGTTTTTGTAAATTTTGATCAGATTGTTCCATCTGATTGGCTCTGACATGAAGCCATTTCGGAGAAAAACTTACTTGTTGAGGTTGAAAGATAAAGTTCTTGAGGAGAAATACAGATTTCTTGAGGAAGCAACATGAAGTCATTTCGGAGAAACAGCGGTATGTTCGGGAAAAAACACGGATACGGAGAAACCCGCATTTCTTCAGGAAGAAACATGAAGTTCTTGTGGAGAAACACAGATTTCTTCAGCAAGCAACAAGAAGTTATTTCGGAGAAACACTTATTTCTTGAGGATAAAAGATAAAGTTCTTGTGGAGATACGCCGATTTCTTGAGGAAGCAACATGAAGTCATTTCGGAGAAGCAGCGATATCTTCGGGAAAAAACACGGAAGCGGAGTAGCAGGAATTTCTTCAGGCAGAAACATGAAGTTCTTGTAGAGAAAGATCAGTTGGAGTTCTTGTGGAGAAACACCGATTACTTCAGGAAAAACATGAAGTTCTTGTGGAGGGACAGCAATTTCTAGAGGAAGCAACATGAAGTCATTGCAGAGAAACAGCGATTTGTTCAGGAACACCGATTGTTTCTCCACCAGAACGTCATCTTTTATCCTCAACAAATCGGTGTTTCGCCGAAATGACTTCACGTTGCTTCCTCAAGAAATCAGTGACATACTTCGCTAGGCATTAGTCGGTAGGCAGACGATTTAACCGAACAGACGCTCAACGGACTCTTGAGCTGTTTCTTGCTACGTTCGAAGTTAGGTTGCTCTACGTTGCTCTACTAGAAACTGGAAACACGTGACCAAAACTGAAAGGACGAAAATGAATGCAACATTACCAAAGCGGAAGAGATTGAAAGAGAGTGAATCATTGACAACTGCTATGAACTACGAGCTTAGTTATAGTTGTGTATTGACAAGTGAAGGACTACACTAAATCAGCCTGAGAATTTAGATAGTCCATTGACAAACTGTGAACTAGCAGTGGCTCTTACTGGGGTTGCTTGAAAATGGGGCTGCTCGAAAATCTGAAAGAATATAACTGTCTACTTGATTGCGTTTAACATTTGTATTTGTCTAAATGCTTTTTGCTCCCATAACTATACATAAAAGATTCAATTTTTTCTTAAAAATTGTCGTTTTGTCTCTTTCATTGTAAATGACTCACTCTCTTTCATTCTCTTCGGCTGTGGTAATGTTGCATTCATTTTCGTCCTTTCAGTTTTGGTCACGTGTTTCCAGTTTCTAGTAGAGCAACGTAACCTCGAACGTAGCAAGAAACAGCTCCAGGGTCGGTTGAGCGTCTGTTCGGTTAAATCGTCTGCCTACTGACTAATGCCTAGCGAAGTTAGCTTAATTCGATCAATAGAACCTACATGTTTCACCCACGCGTTTCGTCTGTTTCATCGCGCGCTTGGCGTCACACTGCTTCGTGATGACGCCTACGCTGAGTATCTGTACGTCTGCGATAACGTCCATCTAACTACCCCATTTTCTCGACAGGTTATGAGCCCAACTCACGCAATTGAATCTTTTATTTATTGTTATGGGAACAAAAAGCAATTATGTAATTTAAACAAAAAAAGTTCCAATAGGTACACCAAAGCGAGTATCTTTCTTCAACTCCATAGTAGAACATCTAACGGACTCCGATCTATGTATAAAATTTGATTGTCCGGCGCCAGGGTAATAGTAAAAAATGAAGACACCCACAAACAGCTACACGGACAGCACACATACAACCACAGACAGCTACACAGACATCCAAACACAGACATCCTAGCTGTCTGTGGGTGTCTTCATGTTTTGTTATTACTTCCGGCGCCATTCTTAAGACGAAATATAATTATTTAATTCTTTAGTTCTTTATAAATAAAACAGTAGGACATTTAAAAGCTGAGTAGAGATTTTTAATTTCAATTTTTTAATGATCTCTCTGTCTGTCTCGGTTAGTATGACCAGGGTCTGTCCACATCGCAACTTGTGCGCAGCACAATTGCAATCTAGTTTTACAGTGTGCATTCAATATTCGAGCTTGTAAACGCGCATCGACCAAACATCTTTGTTCTTAGGATACGAAACAGTATATATTGAGAAATCAGTATACAATCATTTTCTTTGTTGTACCACGCTTTTTTCTTATATGTTCTAAGATGATTAGATAAAGTTTTTGTCAAACGTTTTTCATCACCTTGTCAGCTTTAAAACTATGAACCAAATAAATTAAATTTGAACTTGAAATCTTATAAAAAATACTATATAGCAAATATTATCAAATCATCTAAGAATCTTATTATTTCTTATGTTACACACTATAACAATCTTATCACCTGAGTGCGCATTTAAGGCCTCTGTTATATATAATTTTTTTCATAAGATCTCTATAAAAATCATATTTGATATTCGTATTTTCGGTCGACTAGGGAAGTAGGTGAACCTGCGGTAGTAGTTCATTAGCATATTCACCAGAAATAATCAAAAATATTTTCTCGTTTTTCACTAATCTGATATATTGGATGCATTCGTCTGTATAGGAGTAAATAGCACATAATCATTTCTCTGTTCGAGAGTTTCTTTTTTTATTTCCTCATTATGATCATTTTTAATGAAGTGCAACAACGTTAAACGTTCTTTGTTATTTCTTACATCGCTCTCGTCTTTTGACTTCTTGAAGAAGGATATTTGTATATCTGATTCTCATTTATTAGATAGTATTGTGTTAGAAGAGGAGAAAAAAATGCTCAGTACTGATGAAAGACGTACGATAAGTTGGCATGAGTCAAATCAATATATAATACAGATAGAAAATAATGCATATTAATTTTTCTTCGGTATGATTTGCACTGTCGAGGTTCCCCAAAAGCTATTTAAACCACAGAAAACTCATGCCCTACTTCCTGATTATTATCTTTTTCATATCACCGATAAAAACAAATTAAAGTGTGTCTAGAGTTTAAGAAAAGTGCTTTTTCGAATTCAGCACACTTGATAACTTAAAAAATTTTCTATTCTTAGCAAGGGTTGCCGCCAAAAAGTTAAGATAAATTTTCAAACAAATTGACACAGAAAAATCCCCATGGTAAAATTATACAATTTTGAAAATTTTTTTTAACTTTTTGGCGGCAACCCTCGCTAAGAATAGAAAATTTTCGAGGTTATCAAGTGTGCTGAATACGAAAAAGCACTTTTCTTTAACTTTAATGAACTTTAATTTTTTGTCGGTGATATGCTGATATTACACATATTGATACAGAAAAAATGATCAGTACTGATGAAAGACGTACGATAAGTTGATATGAGTCAAATTTCTTCATTTGTTAAAAGTATCGAAGTCTGCGAGAATGAAAAGTCTGGAGAAATTATGTTTTACGTTTGAAAGTTGATATCTTTTTAAAAACGTTCTGTCCAAAGATATCTGTACTAATTTTTCAAAATATTACTGACTTTTATATATGAGAATAGCATTGGTCTGATGAAACAATACCAGATATCATTAATACATCTGACTAACTTATCTTGTGTGTTCGATGACACTCTAGACTATATACTTAATTGTTCATCGGCTATTTTTCCTCTATCATTTATTAAAGATGAACAGCACGAATGTTTTACTCACTGATGACGCACCTGTGTGGTCTAGATATACCATTTCAAAAACAAATATAGGTTTTGGCGATCGTTATTAGTTAAATCAATTTCAACCTTTATCAAGATAGGTCATTGACTTCTCGCTCCATTGGAATAAACCATTTTATAATACTAGCTTGGAGTGATCCTGTTTGAAATAGTTTCGTTGATACGATTGTTTTGTTCTACTAATATTGCAGAAAAAAAGAAATTTTCTTGTTTCCCAGTTTACAATATATAATGTTGATCTCTAAGAAATGTTATTACGTGCACTCGCTAGAAAAATATGTGTTATATTCGCGTCGCATTACTTTTCTACTTAGAGAAATAAGACAAGAAATATATCACGATGAGAAAAGAAAACAAGGAACGGAAAATATTTTATTGTATTCAATGTTCATGATTTACAACTCACTATCCTAATGATTATCTAATCTCCAGAATTTGTCACCGACTCATGTGATTACAGAAGCAACTATTGTTTTAGTCTGGTATATTTATTATATATCCTACTTTTTTTATGTAAGAGAAGAGTGGAGAGTTCAAGCAAAAAGTACAAATGGTATTTTTTATCTTAGACCGATCCGTTTACTTTACAATTAAGAACGATACACGACGAGTGATAAGATCATTAAACGATATCTATTAGCTTTCATTAGTCTTCATTAATATTTGCACTGACAACTAGTTTTTTAGTATAAGAAGGAAATTAGACGAAAACAATTTATAATACGATAGTAGTGAAATATATTGTAATAATATATATATATTGTAATATATTGTATCATTTGTTGGAAAATGAGGTTGGTGTTAGATAAAACTTTCATAAAATATAGAGGAAAATTTTGTTTCATATCATCCAACATGAATGTGTTGGATTCTTGCTTACTTCAGAAGCAAATAAATGACCTCATATTCTTTCTTCCTTCAGATACAATAATCTAAAGTTTAAAGAATTTTTAAAAGACATTCATCACTCATCACGTCAAATTTGAAGCAACTGATGAAGTGATCATCTTTTTACTCATTATTGCATTATAGAATAACGCTCCATTCATTTCTCACTGCATATGCTCCATCAAACCTATAAGATGTACTCGTTTTTTTGACAATCACATAACTGAATGTCATTATTGATGAGTACAGGGTTTACATCACGTGCTTTAAGTATGTATGATTTCAATTCATTTATGAATTTTAATGTAGTCATTTTACTGTCTCAAAGAATTCTGGCAATATTATTTGACATATGCGACACGAGACGCTTTAAACTGTGAAAGCGATCTTAAAGATACTAAACTTGAAATACTGACGATGCAAGGTAAAAAGCCACTATCGTAAAATATTATTTGACAATATTTGAAAAATCCGCGTATTCGACTTAATGTTTTGATATTTTATCCCATTTGTTCAGCTTTTTCGCTTGCTGTAATCAAACATATAACTTTAACTATAGTCGACAAAATCTTTTTACATTTTTACAGTAGATGATAAAATCGCGATTGTCCCTTGAAGA